TTTCGGCATTAAATAACCCATAGAATTTTATATGCCACGAAAGAAATTCTTTCAAAGAGCATACACACACACACACACACACACACACACACACACACACACACACACACACACACACACACACTCTCTCTCTTTTTCTCTCTCTCACACACACGGGCATGCGCACACACACAAACTCAAGTGTGCCCTCATACACGCGCACAAGTGTTTAAATATAGAGTAACATAAATAAATGCAGAATTTTACTAATTCTTCCTTATTTAATTAATCATTTATGTTAGATTTATAGATTAAAATATCCCCACGATACTGATGGTGTATAACAGTTTACAGACGCCATATTTTCCATAATGTCGCGTGTGGACATGTATACAGAAATAAATTCTGTGACTGAAAATAAAATACCAGTTCTCTGACAGCCAGTGCCGATTTTGACCATGGAGACGGGTGCGGTTAGTGTAATATTTATTGTATTTTTTTACTAATTTGTCTCCAATATTTAGCCCAAGAGCCAGTCAAGGTAGGGGTTACTGTGTGGAATTCTTTTAGTGTAAGAAAGGCCAGGATAACAGGAAAGATAGACAGCTAATTCTTAGACTTGAAGTTGTCAAGATTTAATATGCAAATAAAATTTCAGAGATCAAGCAGAAACGTTCAGTGTATAGAGTTGAAGTAGACTTTAGAAGGAACTGGAAACCTAATCCTAAACGGGAAACAATGGATAAACCTCTACTCCTGTACCGGAGAGATACATGAACCGGACGATAGATCTTATCTGATACGTTCTCTTTCACTCAAATTCTTCCACATTTATGAACACAGCCACAATGTACTGGCCATATTTGGAAAATAAGAATATGCATACTTTTAGCAACTTAGGAGGTCTGTCTGAAAATTCACTGACGGACCATGTTCTTCTGTGAGAAGCATCCTCCACATTTTAAAGAAAAGGGTGGATTTTGTATTTATTAATCCAACAGATATGACTTAAGCTTTATTTTGAGTACATACCCGTATTTGATTAGACTCACCGTTTATTTATTAAATAGTATATTTATTTTCGTCTACCGGCCAGAATATTTGAGAAATCTTTATTAAAGAAAAATATGCGGTCTCCTGCAGGATTCGAACTTGCGTTTCTCGAGGAAAAACCGTCATTATATCTGACATGCTTTCACATTTCGGGTACAGGGTGTGCCGATAACCAAGGAAAGTTGAATAGAGCCTTTAAGCACAGATTGTTCTCTGACTCTTGAAATTTTCGGTAATGGATGCGTACCGCTGATGAGTCTCAAATATAGAACGAAACGGCCGTCCAGTGCTTTCTCCATTCTGTTGAGGTTTCTTCTAGACTCGATGAATTACTTAATTATGATTATCTCAAATCCTCCTAATCCTTTCTATAATATATATATATATATATATATATATATATATATATATATATATATATATATATATATATATATATATTTTTTAAATATGAAGAATTTGGTAAACCGAATTGGTAATTCCAAAGAGGATGAAATCCTGAGAGCTCAATGTGAAGAACAGAGTCAATTGTTGGAAGTGTTACCTGATGATCCAAAATCCTTTAAAAAGGATTTTGGTGAAATAAATTATTGTTATGGTACCTTAAAGTGTCTGTTGTTCATTAAATATATATATATATATATATATATATATATATATATATATATTTATATTTGATTGATAGATGTGAGTTTGTGACCCTGGGTTTGTCTGACGATCGTTAAAGCGTGAAACCCAGGGTCACAAACTCACATCTATCCAACCAAATATGTTAGCTCTATCTCTGATATTGAGCGCTTTCTAATAAGTACCACGTATATAATATATAAATAATTATATATATATATATTTATTTATATACACTTTTCACACACACACACACACACACACACACACACACACACACACACACACACACACACACACACACACATATATATATATATATATAATGTGTGTGTCATCAAAATTGTCCGAAAGGTGATCCTGCGTGTTGTTACAAACCTCCTTGGGACAGCCAGTGCCAACTGTGAATGTGAGATCAAGCTAGGGCAATTTCTCTTCGTGGTGGTAAGCATTTCAGGGAGGTAATATTCAAATCTTAGATAACATGTTGAACACTTGCATACTAGCTTGTCGGAGTTAACTCCTCCGTAATTTCCTAATTGTCCAAATTGCTCCTAGGGGTCGCTATCTCTAAAGTATAAATACACGAGAATACTTCGCTCTCTCTCTCTCTCTCTCTCTCTCTTTCTTCCACTTTTCAGCCGACAATACGACAATGTAGGCTCTCGCAGAAGATTGCGTTTTTCCCTTTGTGGAGAAGTGGGTGCTACGTCTTTCCCACTTGTGGGAAGACTCCAGGAACATCACACACACACGTACGTACGTACGAACATACTTTGAAACACGAATTCTTTACGTTCATGTACACATACACACGTTAATACACACACACACACACACACACACACACACACACACACACACACACACAGACAGACAGGTTAATGCCTTTTCACAAAATGTAAACCCTTTTTGTTGTTTAGTACATATATCGGTTTGTACATATATATATCGGTTCTTGGTTGTTTTCTTTTACATTTCTTTTGGGTGGACTCATATCGAGTCCGCCATGTTTGTAGTGGGCTTTATTTCAGGAGACCGCACGTGTTTCATTTCACAACGCGTATTAAACCCACAGTTCGCTACAAGGGTCGGTGGCTTTGTCGGAGTTGCATTTTCAGCGGGCACTACGACAATGTAGGCTCTCGTAGAAGATCCAGTTTTCCCCTTTGTGGGGAGCGCTATGCGTTTTCCTTGGGAAGACGCCACGCACATTATGCACACACACACACACACACACACGCACACACACACACACGTACGAACATACTTCGAAACACTGTCTACGTTCATACCTACACACACTAATTATGTCTTTTGTAAACCCTTTTTTATGTCTAATACTTGTTTGTACATGTTTATCGGTTTCTTGTATTTCTATTACATTTTCTTTTCGTTGGACTCATCTCTACTCCGCAATATTTTTGTAGTGGGCTTTTTTTTTATTTCAGGAGTTTCACACGTGTTCATATGACAACGCGTAAAATCACCACGGTCCACTACATGTTATGTAATAATTATATTTGGTATATCATTTTTATAATTCACGATATTTGCCTTTAAAATGTGTCCTAGCATTATAGGACACCTATATATATAATATATATATATATATATATATATATATATATATATATATATATAAATTTTTTCGAAGGTTATTCTCGACGTCGCTTGGAAATGGGACCAAACTTCAAATTTTAAGTTTAATTTAATATTTTAGTTTTGGTTTCGAAACATAGTAATTTCTGTGTCGCGATTGATACATATTTAAAAAATAATTATATATATATATATATAAATGTATATATATATATATATATATAATAATAATAATAATAATAATTATTATTATTATTTAAAAAAATATGTATCCATCGCGACACAGAAATTACTATGTTTCGAAACCAAAACTCAAATATTAAATTAAGCTTAAAATAAGTTTAAAATTTAAAGTTCAGTTTAATTTTCAAGCGATGCTTCAAAAAGAATGATTTACTCTATTCATAAGCCAAATAGTATTATATATTTTAAGTTGGTGGGTTAATGGGAATTCAGAATTAGGAGAGTGTTGGTTTTATTTAAAAAAAAAATTAAATTAAAAAATAATTATAATATTATGCTCTACTGTGTATCGAGCACTCTTTTTTTTTTTTTTTTAAATAAATGCTAAAAAATACTCTGGATTATAAATCTGACTGTTCTTTCCTATCATTCACACACACACACACACACACACACATATATATATATATATATATATATATATATATATATATATTAGGTAAAATTGTCAAAAGATAAAATAAAATTTCGCCACAGTATATAACTTAATCTAAATTGTAAATTAATTCAGTATATTTTTTTTTTTAAAAAATCCGAGTTTAATAATTTCGGACTGGAGTCTTCTCGATTAGAAAATTGCTATTGTCATTATCGATTTTGGATGTGTCAAACCATCACGTGAATCGTTCAGACATCTTCGTAACGCTCTTTTTTATTATGTATTTTATCGATTTTCATGACAACCGAGAAAATATTATGAATTTAATTCTATATCTGTTTAGAAGGTGCGATGGTGTATTGGATACCGACTTGGAATGGGAAATCGGAGTGCCGAGTTCGAATTGCCGTCGAGTTCGTCTCATTCGCGCGAATACCCTTCGCCCCCAGCTATGTGTAAATTTACAGACTAGATCTGAAAGACTTGGTTGACAACCAGTCTGGGAGAAGAAAATCTCTGAATTCAAATTAGACCCATCAGGCTATCTTTCCCAAAACGCGCCATTGCTTCAATACATGTATGAAGCAAGGGAACTTCTGAGAGAATTTGGTTTTCTCTATTCTCAACATGAGTATTTGGCGGGTTTCGGCAACTCTGCTTATATCAGATTTTAAGTAAATTTCTTTCCTGATCACTCGACATTATTTGACTGAGGTAGACATTCGAAAAAAAAAAAAAAAAAAAATGCTGTAAGTGAAATAAAGGATGTCGTAATAGTTTTGGTCTGTGGTCGTCTCTAAGACAAATCGACTTCACTGACACTTGGCATTAAGACGAAAGGCGAAACAAATCGACATTGAATAGCGAAATCCCCAAAGTGCTTAGTCTTGTGGGAAATGAGCAAACAGGTGGTTTGAGTGTGTCTTTCCGATGATCCATCAAACAAGTATCGTTGGGAAAGACTGGATAGAGAGAGAGAGTAAGAAAGAATGACAAATCGAAAATATCAAAAAGAGAGAAAGAGACTAAGAGAAAGAAATAAGAAATAAAGCAAGACAAAAATAATAATAAAAGGAGATGTATAAAAAAATAAAAAAAAGTGAAGAAAGAAACACACACAGATAGAGAGAGAAGGAGAAAGAGAGAGAGAGAGAGAAAGAGAGAAAGAGAGAGAGAGAGAAAGAGAGAGTGAGAGAGACAGAAAAAAAGGCATAAATTAAAAAGAAAGAATGACGAATTAAAAAGAGAAGCGAGAGAGGGAAACGGTAGAGATAGAGTGATGGGGATGGCGGCATAAATGGTAGTTAAAGATCCGAGTTCGAATTCCACTCGAATCCATTACATTTACTTACGTGCTAATACCCTTGGGAAAGGTATGAATCCTCTTCTTCTCCCTCCAGCTATGGGTAAATAGCAGGACAGACTGGGTTCTATAGCCTTGGATGGCAACTAGTCTAAGAGAAGGAAAACTCTGATTTGGAGGCCTTATGGCACGTAGTGCAGTAGGACTTCAACTACAGATAATATTTATTGCGGCTCATTTTTCTTTAAAATTGTATTGTTGGTAATTTTAATCTATCTATCTATCTATCTATCTATCTATCTATCTATCATATCTGCCACTTGCCAAGTACGACCATCACAAGATATACTTGTAAAACCTAGTCTGAACGGATGCCGTCCTTTTAAAGGTTTCATTCTTTTTGATCAGCCGAATATCAACACCGCTATGGGTTATTTAATTCTAAAATCTAAATATTTTGATCACAATTGTATGACTTCAACTACAGATAAAATTTATTGCTGCTCATTTTGCTTTAAAATTGTATTGTTGCTAATTTTTATCTATCTATCTATCTATCTATCTATCTATCTATCTATCTATCTATCTGTCATGACCGCCAGTTGTCAATTGTCAAGTATGACCATCATAAGATATCCTTTTAAGACTTAGTTTGAACGGATGTTGTTCTTTTAAAGGTTTCGTTCTTTTTTATTAGCGGCATATCAACACCTCTATGGGTTATTTAATTCTAAAATCTAAATATTTTGAACACAATAGTATGACTTCAACTACAGTAAAAGTTTATTGCTGATCATTTTACTTTAAAATTGTATTGTTAGTAATTTTACTACAAATATGCATTCTTGGTAATTTAAAAAAATATAAACATGTATTGCTGGTATTTTTCTTATGAAATATATTTTCATACTTTCGTAGCGTTTCGTGTGTGTTTGGGGCTTCACTATTTGCCTAAAGATGGGACCCTATCAGATGCTACCACCCTGGGCCTGGGAGGATCTGGGAACAGTCAGCATTTAAGAGGTGTTTCCAGTACTGTCGGCTGTAATTTATAAGATCTTTCGGTTAAAACAATTTTTCAGGAAAATAACTTCCTCTCGACTATTGTTCTTGCTTGTTTACAGTATTGATAGGATTTCCCTTATTAACTTTCTGTTAAAATAGTGTGGAACGTCAGCATCTTAATTGTGTCTTTCAATTCTCTTCATTCCATTTTAGTTTTGCAGTTTTTAAAAAGGCGTCAAATGATGTTGTTTTTGTTATTTGGTAAAGTACGTTGTTTGCGATTATGTAGCGCCAGTCCACAAGGTTCGACGAAGGATGGTTCTCGTTAAGCGATATACAGCCTTGATTCGTTCGATGCCATTTTAACCATTGATCTTCGAAAGCATTTGTATACAGTGGTAGTAAGTCAAAGTGTCGAAGGTCAGTGTCGAAAGACAAAATGTCGAACAGTCAAAGCATCGAACGGACAAAGCATCGAATGAAAAAAAGAATCAAACTGACTAAATGACGAATGGACAAAATGTCGAAAAGACAGTTTTAAAAGGACAAAATGTTGATCAAAGTAAAAAACGAACATATCGTCATGATTTTAAAAACTCAGTTCAAAAAAGTTTAACTCAGTTTAAAAAAGTCGGTCCACTATGTTATGCAATATCAATCCTCTTATATGGCAGTGAATACTTGGCAATCTCTTCACAAGTAAAGGGAAAACTGGAGGCAATAGAAATTTTGGCTCGACGGGATCCTGAGGATTCCATGAACGGAGCGCGTAAGTAGCGAAGAAGTCTTTAGGAAAATAGGAACAAAAAGAACTATTATACTCAGAATCAGAAAGAGACTTGGACATATAATAAGGAAGAAAGGCTTGGCAAATTTGACACTGACAGGGCATACTGAAATGCAAGAGGGACAGGAGAAGGCAGCAGGTCACCTACCTGGATAACTTGAGTGGATGGGTGGCGAAATGGGGAGTAAGAGGCTTGGCAAAAGGACAAACGTTGCTAAGGGCTACAAAAAATAGAAGCTTGTGGAGAGCCATGAACACCCACGTCCTGAATGGACCCGACACTTAGAAGATATATTTCTGAATATGCCTTAGCGCCATGTATGACGTTTATATGGAAGATTCGATCTGACGATTATTTAAGAACAGGACGAGTTTTTAGTTGGATATTTTGGTTTTGTAGCAACTTGCGGTTTTGTGTAACCTGTTTCATGTTCAATTTCCTTATCTCCCATATGACACTAGGATGAGAATCTGGTACTAATCATGAATTTGAGGATTCGAGGTACCAATGCGGAAAGATTACCAGAATATTTAGCATGAAAATATTTATAGAAAAAGGCATATGGATAATACGTTACGGTGGTGTGGAAATGACTGACGCTGAGATGCCTTGTTAGAACTGATAAGCTTGCGGAATCTTCTTTGAATTTTGTTAAGAATCTCTGGATATAAAACGGTAACACTTGACCGGATATTTTCGATGCACGGAAGAATGGTAATCTCATAAATGTACAAGATAGACTATGTAGAGAGCACTTCATAGGGGACTGACATTTTTTTAGCAACAGCCATTGATTCAATACAGTCTTTACAATTTATGCCACTGTAAATCATGTGACCCACAGGCGCTGTAGGTTAGCATCAGATATGATGATGGGAGATAAAACAAAATGTTCTCTACTTATTCATAGAAAGATTGTTCCATTCTCTCTCTTCCTCTCTCTCACAAACACACATTTTTTAAAAAATCATTTCACCTAGTGTAAGGCAACAGAGCCACTAAGCAATAAGAGGATATTGAGTTTAAACGAATAAGAAAAAAGAGAAATATTATTAAGTAGCAAGAACTAGAGAAGAGTAATCAAGACGGTCGATAAAGATTGACATTGAATTTAAATTTTTGAAGATCAAAATTATCTGGAAAGCAAGGAGCCGGAAGACAGTTTGACAAGCAAAACGGCGAGAAACTCATAGAACTTATGGTTGTATATAGCCAACTCAACTGCTTATTGAAGCGAAGCTCATTGCTAGTCTAGTACTGCGCTTAAATTCATAAAGTCTAGGTACCATAGCGAAGAATACACCCGAAAAATTACCGCGAAAGTATTTATAGAAAAGACGCAAAGAAGCTACATTACGTCGGTAGGAAAGTGACTGAAATCGAGATGCCAGGTCAGGACAAATAATATTGCTGATTCTTTGGTTTTTATCAAGAATCTCTCGATGTGCAACAAGAGCATTGCCCTTTATGTGGCAGCAATATTCAAAGCCTGTACGAATGGTAAACTTATAAATATCTGAGATAAATTCAGCAGAGAAAATTTGTGTAGCACGACATAGTAAACCAACACACACACACACGCACACACACACACACACACACAGGCATCACACACACACACAGGCACTACACACACACACGCACATACACACAGATGCACTACACACACACACACGCACATACACACAGATGCACTACACACACACACACACACAGATGCACTACACACACACACACACACACACACACACACACACACACACACACACACACACACACACACACACATATATATATATATATATATATATATATATGCATGTTTTATTGAAAACGATAGACAAGGTACTACGGCTAAGCTTTTTATTTAATTTTTCTTGTGTTCGAACAATGGCTTCCTTTTTTGGACACAGGGTGTGTAGAAACTGTTCAACAATATTAACTAGGAACAAGGCCACAATGTGCTAACCGTGTTCGGAAAATAAAACATCTCTATAACACAGTAAAACATACACATAACGCACACACTCAAAAATAGAAGCTACAAGCCCCGAATTTAATTTTGCAAAAAAATTTTTTAAAAAGTTACTCCAAAATTCGCTTGAGGATGAAATGGAACTAATGCTTTTAATTTAATTGCAAAATTAAATTCGGGGCTTTTAGCTTCTATTTTTGAAACATGGTTAGAACTGTGTAGCGGAAAAAAACATATTTTAAATCAATTAATTTATAATATTAATGCTCTGTAAATTTACATTGAGCACTATTTTGTAAAAATAAAATATCTATAAGAACACCGGATTATATATCTTACTGTTCTTTCTTTATATATATATATATATATATATATATATATATATATATATATATATATATATATATATATATGTTCGTTCGTGAGTGAGTAGTAAAACGTACCGTCCATTTCCTGGTGTTCATGAGTGCCGATGCTAATGACATCTGCTTGTAAGTTTATTCGTAATAAGCTCTTGCCAAGTGCTTTGTGAACATACACAGAAATTCACATAAATCATCGTTTGATGTTTCTCCAAATTTGAAACATATCTTTTCGCAGACGCATACACTTACATACACACATTCTTACACATCCTTTCAGACATATAGATAAATCCATTATTATTATTCTGTTGGATACTGTTATACATATGTCATACACTCCCATGTCCATATCGCCATCATTGTTTTTAAATATACATCTGCGTTTAAATGATTGTGAACGATCCGATATTAAATGTTTTATGTACGTATGTATGTATGTATGTAAAAATATGTCCTATGTGCTTATATCTATATCTGATTATGTATATATGTGTATGGATTTATGGGTTCGTATGTAGACTAGCACAGACATAACAACATGATTAATGACCTTTGCTTTTCTCCCTATAGGTTCTGTACTCAATAACTTTTTTGGTCGCAAGAACCTTGTGAATATTTCGTTTTTATAATTTATGCTTTTCGATCCCTCTTTCTTTCTTTTTTTCTTTCTTTATGTTCTTTCTATATTTCTTTCTTTCTTTCGTTTTTTTTCTTTCTTTTTTTAACGGTTCATTTTTTCACAAGTATGTTCGTTCTTTCTTTCTTTCTTTCTTTCTT